AAAATCTCTCTCCTAGATTGTAGGTTGTAGTCCCAATTTTCTAGGAATAGTTGTCAATCCACAAAATGGGGACATGGTGAAGAATTTATTCTCAGAAGCAATTTAAACTCCTTTTTATTTGGCTGTTTTTCAAATTTAGGAACTCAAAACCAGGAGCTCAAGCACAGCAGGTGAAATGCATGCATTTCAGATACCATCTATTCTTAGCTATTTGATCCCTTTCTCTCTCTCTCTCTCTCTCTCTCATCAAACTTACTTTGGTCTCTCTCAGCAGAAACTGCAAGTCACGGCCACTGAGTATTCCGTGGTTTTTCACATAGCCAGGCATATGAACAGTGCTTGTCCCATGAACAGTTCCATGGACTTCCATGTATGTGTGAATGATGTCCAGATAGGCCTTCTTATCCTGTAAGAGCAACAACACATACGTTGGTCTCGGTCCTCACACACTTGGAGCAGCAATGATCTGTCAGGACTGTTTTCCAGAGAGGCCTCCTGTACCAGAAAGGGAAGATCCTCTCCCCTTGGCAGAGCTGCTCTCTTGTTAACTGAATACGCATCTTTACCTAAGTACCTGACAAGCTCCACACAAATATTTCACGTACCTGAAATATCAAAGGGAATTAGTAAGGATTAGTAAAAGACAACAAGAGAACAGTAATGGATTTTGTTTTGCCTTAAAATAAATAAATAAAGAACCTGTGCACCGTGTTAGTCTGCAAACAAGAATTACTTTAATTTTCAATTTTTTTTTTTGTGTATGTGTATGTGTGCATGTGTTTTATAAACCACCAGCATTCCAAAACTATTTAGCCAAAGACTGTATTTACAGCCAGCACAGATCAGAGAGGCTGTTCCTCAATATTTGCACATAGTCTCAGGAATAACTCTAAAGGTAACAAATTTCTTTACTTTTTGGCAGGAAGGGAGATTTTAAGAATTGTACCTTCAGTCATTATTTTTGTCCCATAATTCTGCACTGTTTCTTCACAGTGCTGTGTGAAAGCCGGCAATTTTAATGAAGTTCATTCAGAGGGCAAGTAGATCCAGAAAATTCTGTTTCAAATCCCAAAGCAAGATACCAGGCCCTGGTGAAAAACGTTTCTTTGCTAAGAGCCTGTTGATACACGTTCTCACATGCAGGGCATTTAACCACAGGTACCAAGTGACTTCTAGTTTCAGCCTCCTCTGCTGATGATGGTGTTTGTGAAGAAGTGGATTGCCTGCTGTTACTAAATCCCACTGCTCTGAAGCTATACCCACGACTACACTATACAGAGAAAGTCCTGGGCTAAACATTACATGAAACGGCCAAAAAAAGGAGGCAAAAGCTGCTTGGCGAGGCTATCTGATGTCTGGAATATGCATGTACAGACTGTCAAGTAAATAATTTTCTTCTACCAGAGGAGGTAGGAGGACAGGATGAAAGAGCTATTGGAGTGTTTCAACAACACCTTGAGTCCACAGAAAAAAAATGTTTTGACTAAGACGACTTCAGAGTCTATCTCAGGAAACAGCACTGTAACTTTCATACAGATAGGTATTATCCATTCTTGTCCCCTCAACGCAAATACATTTTCTCAGGGTAGAAGGTGCAGAAAGGCAAGGTGCAAACAAGAAGCTTTTGCACATTTATTTCAGTGGATGCAGTACAAGGAACTGATATCCCGGAAAATAGCTGAAAGGGGTCTGAAAGGCTGTGTATAAACACAGCTGTCTGGAAAGTGAGTTTTTACATTTGAGAGCCCCTTGTAGCTGCTGATGCAACTTTCATTTCATCAAATTGCCCAAATATCTCAACTACCACTTTTCACTCCCAAACAGAACAGACCAAGCATGAAAAGGTGAAGGGCTTTTTCTCTCCGCCATGCATATTTAGCAGACTATCTGGAGAGGTCCTGAATCCAAAGTCCTCTGTTCTTACAGTGTGCAGTGCTCAGGACATGAAGACTAACTAAGTTTGGTTATGAAACCAGGTGAAACAGTTAGGAGGTCAACTCATCATCGTAAGCAAACAAAAAATAAAATCAAACCTAACACAAATGGCTACTTGAAATGATGGGGGAGTAGAACACATGAGCTACAAGATTGTTCTCTATCCTATATTTTTAAGCGAAATATTAACCCTATAAATAAGAAAGAAAATCAGTCCATCTCTCTACAAATGTCACCCTATCACTCTTTTACTTCCCTATTTTTACCTTTAATTTATAGCACCGTATTTTTTTTTATTTGCTCATGTTACATTTTGTCTCCAGAAATGGTTGCTTTGGGTAAATTATGTCTTTGACATGGGCGTCTCCTGCCACAATCTGCCAAAACAATTGGATCAGTAGCATCTTGCTGGACACCTTTCCTGGAAAAGAAAATGCTGTGGAAGCCAGATGATTCCACCTACTATTGGGGTCAGAACACAGTGCTTACATTATTGTATTACTTCAGTTCCAAAGATGAGTATATATATACACCATCTTATCCTCTATAGCACCATTTGCTTTCCACAAAATAGGGGATATTAAAAAGCAGCAGCAGCATACCAAGATAGGATGAAAAGAACAGATGCCTTTATAGCAGCAGCTTTGGAGGGAGGGTTTAGGTAACAAATATGTGCAAGAAATATTTCATAATAAATTCAAATTATATGAGCAGCTGCGTGACTATTCAAAATTCAACATTCAATCAATAAATGCTATTTAGGAGAAATAGAAAAACAGTGACAAAATGGCACATTCGGAGCATTTCTGCAAGCACAAACAAAACTATAAATTAACTATCTACAGTCATAATGGGGAACATTAATTAAGCATACAACTGACTTATTTCATGATTGATAGTCTACAACTATAGATAGAAAAAAAACAGTGTCCAAAGTAACATCGATTTTTCCATTCATAATATTTAGAAAAATAACGGGACATTTGCATGGTGGACAGTGGCAGAAGACTGCACTATAAAGGCTCTTCCCTCACGGAGCAAGACTTCGAGATAAACAGGCATGAATAAGGGAAACTATTTGTAAAAATGTCATGAATTGGTTTTGAAGCCACAGAGTAAAAACAGCAAAAAAAGCACAATACACAAAAGCTGAGAAAAAAAACCCAAAAGAGCAACCCTCACTCTTTTAATCAAATGAAGTTTTTAACGAACAGTTGGAAGCAATTGGAGCATCTTTCCTTTGTTCCCTCTACATAAAAAAAAAAAATGTCCTTATATCCGTCATGAGTCTTCCTTTCCCAAACAAGCAAAAAAGAACCTTGGAAAGCACTTATCCTTTTTTTAACCTAGTCAAAAGCTCTTGCTTTCATAATCATCTATAAAGTACCAGAAAAACAACATTACCATTTTATGCCTTACAGAAATCTCACTAAAATGTGTCCCTTTGCTTTTTAGAAAGTCCTGAATTGACAGATTATTTCTAGAAAAAGTGTAATTTCAGCTCATAAAAATATGTATTTTAACAAACCACTACATATTTACGGTAAAATTTTCCATTCCAAACACTAGAAAATTTGAATTGAAGTGAGAGAATCTAAATATGGCATAAGTAGAATGACTGCAAGTAAATGAATCGAGAAATGTGGACAAATATATTATTAACATTCCCTCAGCTCTGTTAAGCTATTCCTGAGTTTGCTTGCTTAGATGGGGATATAAGAATTCCTTTTCCTAAAACATTTGACATTACGTCCAAAATTGTCAATTTCTCCAAAATGATTTCAAGGAGAAAAAGAAATACAGGCTACAGGCTAATAATACAGATCCAGCAGTTTGGATCAGACCAAGGCATTCACGCTGTATCTGCTGCCCATAGCGCAAATCGAGCCTTGCAGCATGAAAGTTCCCCACATCAAAGACGGGCCAATTATTTCTCCTCAGACTCCGAATGAAAGGGCACCAGTCATACAAGCCTTCTCTGAAGCATTTTTTCCAGCATCAAGAATAAGCCTGCCATTCAGGAAAGACATTTTTGTTGATCGCTGACTGCAGAACTGTTATTACTCTGTGTCAGTTATTTCCACCTACTTTAAAAGGCTTCACGATGAGGCCTTTCTCCTCAAAGAAATAAAATGACAACAGCCTGACAAAAACTCAGCTCTGCTTTTAGTTTTTTGATGAGGTACAGGGTGGTCATCAACAACTCTGCTCTCCCATCAGTTTGGCAGCCTGAGGCTATCATGGATTTTTGTAGTGTTAGACCACTCAGATACCCTTGCAGAACTCTCGATATTCACCAGCAAGAGAAACCAAACCCCAGGGGCGCAGAGCTACAGGCCAGTTACGTTAGAGATGAGTCTGAGCTGGTGGCCTAGCCTGGTTTATGGGGCTGAAGTTCAGGTTGCCAAGCAGGTGTAAAAACAGACGTTTTTTGGGAGGACTCAGACTCACCTGCCATTCCGAAAGTCAGGACGAGTGCATAAAACTTGATGAATGTTTTGCAGAAAAATAAGACCTATGACATAGATCATATCACTATAGATAAAGTATTTCCTAAACACGTACTGGTAACTCTGCAAGTCCTAACACCTGGAGCAGTATTTTGCCAGTGTCAAGTCCAAGGTAAGCAAAGGCCAGTGGCATAGAACATACGACAATTGCAGTCTGTGCAGTATACTTGATTTTCAAAGAAAAAATATTCTTAAATACTCTTAAAAACTAAGCCTTACTGGGATAGAAGGGAATCACCTCCTAGAAGAAATACTCAGTAGGTAAAAGGGAATAGGGAAGTGACAAGGAGTGCAGGTGATTCACACTGCACATTTGTAGTAATTTAGTGGTAAAATAAAGCCAACTTCCAAGATGCCACATGTAGAAGGACATCACAACACTGAACACCTGGAGTTCCAAAGCTTTTGTAAAAGCTTCTTGGTAACTTAAGAGACTGAGTGACTAGGAAATAAAACAGCAGATAAATTCAATGGAAATAAATGTAAAGTGATGCAGGTGAGGAAAAACAATCCTAGTTTCACAAAGGAATGATGGACCTGAGCTCACTACTGCTACTCAGGAACGAAGATTTTTCATTATGATATGGAAAAAAGCAGACCAGTAGTTAAAGGGAATATCATTGCACCTCTCTAAACACAGAGCCCTCTCTGTCCTTGAATAGTGTGTAGGTTTCTGGTCCTTCTGCACGTGAACCCAAGAGACCTGGAGAGGGGCAACAAGAATCCAAGCTAGAGAATAGCTTCTATCATTAACTACAGAAATCTGTAACCAATTCAGCCAGGATTCTTCAGCTTGGAAAAGGCAAATTGGCAGAATATAAAAGAGGTTTTGCAAAACCACCATTGGCATACAGCACATGGTTACCAACAAATCATTCCTAATCTTTTCCAACACAAGAGAGGCCCAAACAAAGCCTATAAGAGGCAAGTTTGGAAAAAACAAACATTAATAGTTTTTCCTGCAACAGATCTGTGACCAAGCACGCTGTGGAGGCAACGAAGTTTGCATAAATCCCAGATTAGACAAGTGCTTTGAGGAGCTCTCTAACTGAGCTCTCAAATGTTTGTGAACAGATAGTTTATCAACAGACAACTAGAGTCAGGAAATTCCCTAAAGTGACAACAGCCAGAGAGAGAGAGAATATGCAAGGGAAGTCTTATGTAAACTTGCCACACTCTTGCTTTTCACTGAATGGCCTTGCAGATACCTACCAAATACATTTGTACCAAACATACATCATCAGATACATAAATAATCTTCATGTAAAAAAAGAATAAAATGTCTCAGTATAGACTGGTGTTCTTTGTGAGCTGCCGGAATTCCTGCCCAGTTTCCCCACCCAGTCTTTAGCTATTTGACCACTTCTTGCAGTTTTTCATCCATGAGGTTTTCTCCAGTGCTTTATCTGCTCTAAGGTTTTTGAAAGCTTTGCCTAACTCACTGCCATTAAATGCTCACATGAGGAATTCCCTGTCCTTTGAACACGAGTTTCCAGGCCTAGCAATGGGTCAGACCTGTGCACTGCAAGAGCTGAAGCAGAATACTGCAGGGGTACAGGAGAAAGCAGGAAAGATCAAGGGATCAGAAACAGTTGTGTTGTTTTTGTGACAATCAAATAGCAGTAGATCATTGTGTTAACTACTATTCTAAGATCTCACTAATTCATTTTGTCGGTGCAAAGTACTGCAAAAAGAAGACAGAAGCGAACAGCCCATCACTGACCTGTCCCTTCTTTAACGTGGTTCTTAAAAAGTTACTGCACAATAAATGTTGAAGATAAGTCCTCAAAAATGCACATGTAAGACAGGAAAGGCCATAGTGCTGCTGCAAATTTGGAAGAAGGGAAAACGAGAAGACAACAAGATGAGTATGGGCACCCTGACAGCACGGAAGAGAAAGGTTAAGGATTTTTTTTCTCCCTTCCCTTCTGTATCTTCTAGCTGCAAACGTGAAGTGAAACATTTGAAGCACATTGCTGCTGATGAAGCAGAAAACATGATCATAAGGAAGGGAAAGGTACTGCTGGCTGAAGACATCAATCCACACGAGTAACAGAAATATCCTAGCAATTCATTCTCCTACGACATAATCTCACTCTCTTTTCACCCATACCGTGCAACGTGGCACAGAACGGGGAAACCACATATATGCCAAGGACCTATAAAGTGGAGAAGTTCAGCAAGAACAACCTCAGTTAGGGAATTCCCTGTTAAGAACAAGCTAAAAAATAATCATCTCCCATAATCTGATTCTTCCAAACTTGTTATGTGGACATATGTTTATTACATATTCACAGCTATTTTCCAATTCAAGCAAAATTCAGTCTTGTCTCATGGTATTCTGCAAAATAAACCACAGCAAATTTAAATTAACTTAAAATGAATCCTGACGCCCTTTTTTTTTTCATCAAGAACTGAGGGTAGAAAAAACACAATAGTATAATGGGGAGTTGCATGAACAAAGAAAATACTTTTATTTGAACAGGAGCAGAGAAGACATGAAAGGCTTCAAACATTCCCTTAATTGAAATGTTCTGTAATTAAAGCCAATTTTGATAATGGGAAGGATTATGGGTTTCACTTGCATTTTATTCATTCCATTTCACTCAGGCAGAGAGAGGTCGCTCGTCATTAGTATTGCCAGAAATCCCAGACAAAAACTCAAACCTTTGATAACAACAAACACATTCAAACCCTGGCAAATGCTGTCTTTGATAGCTTACCTGTAAGGATAACCCTTAAAATGCACTTAGTGTCTCCTGTTTGTACTCTTCAACCCACTTAAGACTGATTTGGTCATCAGAGCAAAACGAGCAAGATGACTGGGTTTCTTGCAGTCCCTGCAGCTTACGTGTTTCATGATCTCCATCAAAACTTATCTGGCCATCCCCCCCGTAAAACTGGATTTAATGCCACTGGTCTCAGGGTGTGGGCTGACATCTTTGTCTCTATCCAGCAGAGCTGCCAGAATTGCTCACTGTATTTCTCTCCCTCTTACACATCATCTTCATACCAGAGTTCAACCCTCCTCGGATGATGTGGCAACACAGGATGTGGCCTGTGAGCAATCCAGAATTCTCTTTAGCTGAAATAAAGCAGGTTACTTTAAACAATTTAAACAAGTGGTGTAAGCTGGCAATTCTGCCACTTTGTGCAGTGTGTCAGCAGAGCTAAGGATAGAGGGATTCCTAGCAAAGGTAAAATGACAAGCAATTCAGGACCTTTTTTTCTAGAGACTGAACTGGATGCAGAAAAGGAGAGAGGTCCATAATTGTCCATATGAAACCTTGATGGCAGTTAGCTCCCTTGGTCTCCCCCTCCCAGGGGAAATAAAATAAATACTCTAAACCGAGAGTCTGGTATCCTGGGTATATCCTGCTTCCATTGCAGTTTTGAACTGTTTAAAATGAAACAAGTTATTTGTAAGTGATCCCCCTAAGCCCCTCAGCCTGGGATTCAGAACATTCTCCCCTCCACATTGTGCTTCTCTTAACCACTGAGCAGAAGCAGCAGTGACACGTGTATTCTGTGGTGATTACACTTCTGTTAACTGGCAATATCCAACAGGAAGAAAAGGAGTAGGATAAATAGATTAGCCTGGGTTTGGTACAAGCCATAGTGGCAGATGAAAAGAGCATTAAACTGGGGAAATGAAGGAAACATGAAATAAGCAAATTATGCAGACATAAGATTAGCTGGAGCTTTCTGTTGGTGAGAACTGCATTTTATCACTTTCAGTAAGACCTTCCACATTGTCTCTGCTGCAAGCCCTGCCTGCAGTGACTATACCAGTACATAGGAAGCTTGGGCATGCCAAGCTGCAAGTTCCAGTTATCTAGTGCTTGATGGTACAAGCATACAGTATACATTTTAATATGGCTAATTATTAACTCATACATCTTTGGAAAAAAAAAAAAGGTAGTCCGATTTATATAAAACAGAGCAGTGTGTTGAAGAGCAGCAGTTTCAATAAGGGACAGAAGAGTCTTGGTTGAAAAATCATCTTGATATGAGTTCCCTCTGGTGAAAAGGGAATATGTGTAATAAAGCATACAGTGTTTCTTTCGGTGCTGGTGTATGTCCCTTACTGGCATTCACATTTCAAGAAGACAGCGAACAATCTTGAAAAGGTTCAGAGAAAATAAACAAAATCCTGAGAACATAAAGGATTAAAAAGCACAAAGCTTTCTGCAGTTCAGTAGTGGCTTTTCAGAAACATATATATTCCTACAGGGTAATAGAAACGTTATCAATCCTGTAGACAAAGCATATAATTGAGACAAAGCATGAAAACAAAAAGTTTGAGAATCTGAACAAGAAATAATGCAAAAGAGAGAAGGCAATTACTTAAGGAATTCACCAGGGAAAGCAGTGAGCTTTCCATTGTGTGCTATTTAAAAATCCACATTAGATATTCTTTTCCAAAAAGCCATGTCCTTGCCTGAATCAGCTCATGTATATCCTGTGTGTCATATAGAGCCTCGGGCTAGACAATTACAGGGCTCTCCTTGAGGCATATTAGCTATTAATACTTACTGCTGAATTAATACAGAATGAATAAACTGATAAAGATATATATGTAAGCTAAAAAATCATGGTGACTAAGGAGCAATGTGGTGCTCAGATACTACTACTCAGGAGGTGCTGATACCTTCCTACCTACCAACCAGGCTGGAAGTACAGATGCTCATTACATCCAGCCATTCCTGACAGGCTGATAATGAGACCAGGATCTGGAAATACAAGAGCCTCAGCCAGAAGAAGACCCAGATTCAGAATTCCAGCTCCATTCCAAAAATCAGCAGATAGAAGAACAGACTGCAACTGGGGAGATACTAAGTCATTCTACAACATGAGCCAAACATGCACTCCTCCATATTCCTATTAATTTGAACAGCTTCTGCATTTTCAAAGTTTTTAGCACTGTAAAAACTTCTATTATTTTACAGAGACAAAATGTCTCCTAATTACTTGCATGTAAATCAAGGTGTTTGTCAAAGGAGGCTCTCAAAATACCATGCACTTATTTTTTGCAGCTCTTCTTCTATCAAGGGAATACATTAAAAAAAAAAAAAAAAAAGATCCTTCTCGATCAAGGCAGGTAGTTGTTTCCTCATAGAAAGGCTCCAACATGTTTAACTTAATTCTATAAATATGAATATTTTCAAAAAAAAAAAAAAACAAAACAAACCAACCAAACAAAAAAACACACCCCACAAACTTCATAGATTTCAGGAGCAAGGATACTTCAGGTCATCAGTTGTGCCTTATTATCTTGATCAGCGTTAATTTGACCACGTATAGAAGGATGGAACACTCACCTTCCAGAAGTTATCCACTTTGCCATAAACTAGAGATTGATTCTGCCTTTTGATGTCATTAATGTGCTTAATGTCACTAGAATTCAGATGTTGCTCTACCACAAATCCAAGGAAGCTGTTATCTGGAGTATGAGCTGTAAGAAACAGAGCATATTCAAAACCTTTTAAAGCATCACTTAATGCTATACAAGTGTGGCCGTTGTCAGAAAAGGAGTTATAAGAAACATAATATTCAACAGATCACTTCTTTACATACACACTGAGCTACACATTTGCTTGCTATGCTATTATTAATAATTCTTATTAACTTTAAGTCCTGCTGCACACATCTACTGAAGTAAGCAGTTATTTTCTGGCTCATTTCCTGTGTACAATAAAGATTCTGTATCTGGATCTAGGCCAATGATAATGATTTTCTGTGTGCTCAGCTTTATCATTGGAGATAAAAAAACCAGAGGGGATCCAGCTTGACAATCTCAGAGAACACAGTACCAACAGCTAAAAACACCCAAATGTATATACACATATGCTTGAAAATAAAGCTGTAGGTTGATGAATAGCAGTATAGGATATTATCAGTAGCAGCTGATGAGGTTAATCTCAAATACTGAAAAAGTTTAACCACAAACATGCAACTCTCTAAACATTACGTATTTACCCTAATTATCAGCCTATAAAGTCATACAAAACAAGAAACCAAAATCTAACTTTCAGATATCTGTGAATTAAGCATCAGCATAAAAATAGTAAAAAAGGTGATGGCTAAAGAGGCTAAAAGATCTGTATTAATGCAGTTCTCAGACAAAAAGTGCATGCAAAGGGTAGAAAGTTTGCTCTGAAGCCATACCTGCTGTATGAAGACTGCCCCACAATGTGTGGAGGAGTTTATGCCTCTTTAGAGAGTATTATAGGCTGCATAGGAATACGCTGCAATAAATACTAGGAACTGCTACATAAGCCTCCCCTTTTTAATTAAGTATGCTTGGGAAAGTAAAAAACAAAAACAAAGCAAGCAAAAGTAAACCACCTCCCTCTCCCTCCAGTGAGAGGGGACACATGCCATACTAAAGCTATGTCCAAGGATTTCTCCAAGAAAAAAAATCTATTGCACTTAGGATTTTTTTTTTCTTGGCAATTCTTGCAAATCAGTCAAGTGGATAATGCAGTAGAATGGAGAAATCACAGGGCACATTTTCCTCTGTCATTAAATTTAGTCTCTCTAATGACAATTCTTCTTTTTTAGAAAAAATTCCTCAACAGCAGCCAGGTTCTCACTCGAATCCAAGGCCTTGGCAGGAAGACTCGGAAAACATGGTGAAGCCCTTTGCTAACACATCACCAGTTTGGATATGGCTTTCTCTTCACTAATCATCTTCAGCCCTTATTAAGAGAGTCCTCAAAACACAGGAAGAGTCTGTGGATCTTGGGAAGCTGTTCAGGGTTCCAGTCTAGGACAAAATCCTTAGTGATGCATAACAGACTTTTTAATCACAACCCAATAAAGACTGTGCTACCTCTGCAACAGAAGGATGAAAATTAAATCAGAAAAAATGACGACTCTTTTGCACCTAGTACAAAAAGAAGAGAAATCCTTGAAAAATCTACTGCACTGGAATCACGCTTCAGAATGAGCTTCCTTACTACTTTTCCGGAAGGGAGGAAAAGAGTCATTTCTAGTAATAGGCATTTCTAGTATTAAAAACCTGAAATGGTTATTCCTTCGAGTTCCAACACAATCTTACTATTCTGATAGTTCATTATGAGCCGATTTGCTCTGAACAAGAACGAAGTATCTCTCTATGTAACAGTCACCTTTCACAGAAGCGACAAAACAGAGAATTTCTTTATTGGAAATGTTACCTTCTTCCACACCCCATGGAGAGGGGCTGAGGAGAGCACCCTCAGGGCACACAGCTGGGCCACGGTCCAGCCTGGACGCCTCCGGTGCTATCTGCAGTGGGACCTCACACACAAGTCTCTGAACAACTGGACTACTTTAACACAGAACAGTCAAAGCCATCTTCCATCTATATTAGCAAATATTAGCTGAGGTCTCAGGAAGTAAAAAGCAATTTCTGTGGATGTGGAATACATTCTGTGGCTGGTCTTTTACCATCCAGGCAAAAAACGTGTAACCACTTCCAAGCCACATTTCGTAACCCTGCTTTTTGTTACTTGCTTTTAAACAAGTGTGAATGCAGTCTTTTATCTGCTGAACAACCTCCACTTATATTTCTCTGGAAAAACTTGCACAGAAAATGTTGACAGACAAAACACGCCTCTTCCAAGAATTTTACAGGGCAACTCAATTCAAAAGTGTGTCAACCAGGCACTGGTGCCTGTATCCCCCAGTTATGCAGAGTGAAAAGTCTGAAAGACTTGTGAGGTCTGTTCAGAGAGGAGTGTACTTGCTCTGACCTTGGTTTTAGATACAAAATACCACCAAACTTCGGGATTGTGCTGGGTATCCATCAAGAGTTTCTTTATAGACTTGGCCTGAGAGGCTGCTGCATAGAACACGCTCTCTCCTTATCCCTAAACCTCACTCTCCTCTAACTGTCTGGATGCAGTGAATCTTTTTGCACCTTCCAGAATAACTAAGTCCATAAAGTCAAAGCAGGCCAGAGTAGGTCAGTGAAAACATTTCATCAGCCCGAATTCATATACATTTCTGATGTATTTTGGTATTTCTGTTTTAGCTCTTCTATTTGGAAGATGTTTAATGATGATTCAAAAATGCAGAGCAATAATGAAAGACACTAATCCATTTTGAATTGTCCAAATATTTAGTTACTCTCACATTCTAATTTTTCAATAGTTTTGTAGCTTATTGGGATAAAAATCTGCATTAGTTCACCTCAGGATAAATTCTCACAAAAGGAAAAAGTCAGATGATAATCTGGACTGTATCTGCCAAAAAATTACAGAGACAAAAAATCTTTTTTGCTGAGTACCAGATTATGAATCTTAAAGAAACAGAAAAGGAATTGTGTTGCTCAGTTACAAAGGGAAAAAAGGCAAAAATGCAACAACACAGTCATAATCTCCATTTTAATGACTACATATAAAACCGTGCAGTTTACTAAAATGTGATGACTCTAGTAAGTGTCTCTAAAACCTGTCACACGGTGGAAGAAATAGAAAAGCCAAAAGCAAAAAAAGTGAACTCAGACACTTGAAGGAAATGCCAGTATCTCAATGCTTCTGTAGGTATCCTGAGATACCTACAGGATACCTGTCCTGCTATTACTTACAGTTATCTCATATTGTGCTTTTCTGATCTCTGGATGAAAGTACTACAGAGATTATGTACAAGCTACAAGCAATTATCCCATCTTGTAAAGCCATGAATTGGCCGTTAATAATACAAACAAACAAAAAGTCTTCTCAGTGAGAACATTCCTTTCTTAAGTGCAAAATTATTCTTGACTCCAGGGATACTTACGGAACATTGTATAAAACTGCTGTGGATTCAGGTTCCATTTTCCCCATGGTGTCTTGTGGCCTTTAGATTGGGCGTAATGGGCATGGTTAAACTCTGGTTCCGTTCCAAAGGAATCCAAGACTCTCAACATGCACCTGAAGGAAAGAGAAAACCACACTCTAGGCATCTATAAATATATATATAAATGAATATCTGTATTTACAATAATTAGTAAGATGTGTATCGTTGGGGTTTGTAAAGTGTTTCTGTTCATGTTACATTCACAAAGACATTATAAACATCAGAAAATTCAGGAATATATCAGACATTCAAATAGCAAACCTGGAGCTTATTTTGGGATTCTTTGTTCCTACGGAAACAAGTCACACCTGAGCACCGAGGTAGAGGTCATGGGAACACAACAGCGATGATCTACATTTCTGAAGCTCTACAGGAGAATGTAGGCAGGAAAAGGAGGACTCTGTCATCCGTTTCCTACTGTTCCCATGCACTACTACAAAAGCAGTACAACAGCCAAGGGTGATGTATCAAGAAGATCAAAGCTCTGTCTTCAGACAACTGTATTTTGTCTCCCAACTCTTACTTTTGGGTCAGTTAGACCTATGGTAGAAGTACTGAAGAATTTAATTTGCTAAAAACACTTTCAGTTGGATGGGACCTTATTTGTTTTTGAATTGTTTCATAATGTTTCTGAAGAAATAATACAGAGGCCAAATGTCTACAACAGCCTGACCTAAAAACTGAAGGCCTGGCAGTGGATTATGAAGGAACTAGATAGGCAACTCACACCAAAACCTTCACTTAAAGTCCTATTAATTCCTTCAAAAATACTTTTTTTTTTTCTTCATTGATGACCTGTTCCTTCCAAAAACGGTCTATAAGACATGAAAGGTGGCAAAATTCTCAACATGAAAAAGCAGGCACACCGCAGCAAGCAGGTTCTTGAGCTGATGGTCCAACACCAGAGTACCCTAAACTTCTGATATTGCTTAGATAGAAACTTTCTTGGTGGCCATTATATTGACCATTAGTTTCACTGCAAGGGATCTGTGCTATACGTATTCCAAGTTGCTGTCTCTACCATGTTTCAGCCTCCACAAGCAAAGTTTGGGGAAGAGATTTATATAGGATGTGTAAGGTCACGTGTCACATTGCGCTGTGCTATGAGGACATGAACTCTATCACCGCACAACGTGTCATGGGGCTTATAAGTGCTAAGAAAGAAACAGCCACATGGGTGACAGGGAAGGGAGAGAGCTGCAAAAGTTCTTATCAAAAATAGCTGTATTTTCTAGCCTTCAAAATTTCCCATGCTTCAAGCCCATAGACATTCTCTCAAGTTAAACATCATTTTTGTGGCTTCAAAATGTGAAAAAAATTATCCCCACAGATACATTTATAGACTTCCTATCTATCGTTTCCTTCATTTAGGTATCAGTTAAATGGAAAAAAAAAAAAAAGAAAAAAGGGAAAAGGAAAAAAAGGGGAAAAAAAAAGAAAAAAAAGCTACAGCAACTTTTAAAATCTAATGTGAAATAGCATCTTTGGATTTGAGAATAAAAAAGTGAGCAGATTTACTTAATCTTTATGAAGATCTTTCAAGAAAGATGAGCATCAAAATATACATCACATTATGATTCACCAAGCAAAGGAGCTGACAGATCAGTTTCTGTGTTGTGTAATCCCATGTTTATGTCAACTGTTCTCAGGGAAAACATTTTACAACAGTGGCAACGATCTCAGCATCATACAAAATACTCCAGCAGGACCAAAGTGATGAATCAGACAGTAATAAAAGCCCTCTTACTTCTTGGCTGGTCTTAAAACAGAAATCCTAACAAATACACAGCTTTTGGTCAGGTGCATGAGTGAAAACAAATGAGAAAATCAGCACAAGCTACCGAAAATCTGCAAAATTACAGGAGTTAATCATGTACATAAGAAGCATTAAATTGCATGGTATCATCTCCACATGCTTTGCTTCCTCTCTGATTTTTGCCCTGCATTGAGATGTAAGGTATGCAGCTAACTGGCCATAAGCATACGGGTAACTACATGCAACAGGCACTGGGTCTCTGAAGCAGCCAGGCAGGAAACGCGAGGGAAGCTGCAAAGGGCACTAAGCAAAACCAGGAAGCAGGGGAAACAAACCACGTGTTTGAATAACTGGGGCAGAAATAAAATCAGAAAGATAAGAGAAAAAGATCACAGCAGAAATGGGCAGAAATGGTATGAGACATCAAAAGTTTAAACTGAGGAACCCCTGAAACGAAGCAGAAAAAATGTGAGGAAGTACCATACTCTCTTTTTGTTTCACTTAGCTATTTAAATCTTTTTAAATTTAACAATTTACCATATAGTTTTTTAGTATTTCTAAAGTAAACTAATTCTTATTTCAAAATGAAAAAGGAGAGAAACATTTTAAATCCAAATGTCAATTCAGTGTGATTTTTGCTTCAGCTTTTCACTCAGTTTCCCCTTCCTTTCCAGGATGCCACCCTGCTTTAGTGGGGAAGTTGCAGAGTTTTGCACCATGCCTTGGAACTGGTAAGACTATTCAATGACATGCTGGTCGACTCAAAACAGATTTAAATTAAAAATGCTTTAAAAACGCTAGACTGAACCATATTTGAATGTTAAAAAATAGCTAAAATACTGAGAACTAGTGTGCAAATGTGTGTAATAATCGACGAGTTGCACACTGCTTATATGGACACCCACATTATTGTTTTCTTTATTCTAACAAACTACAAGTGAAAACATTGGGGCCTATAAGAAAAACAGAAAAAAGTAACCTAAGATTAGTGCTGTCCTTGAAGTGACTAATTTTCCATAAGCCTTGGACAGAAGGCTGCTTCTTCTAGAAGATCAGAAGTCTCAACTGGGCAGCATCTGTGGCTGTGCACGAAACCTCTCAGCCATCCCATACTTCATTTTCAAATGCAAAACCTTAGTCAGAGAGCAGCCCTATAACAGATATATTCCACAGAACATACAAAAAGTAGGAATGTTGCTCATTTGCCATGATATCTCTCATGCACATTTATTTCAAAAATAAAGCCAGTGAGATTTTTGGCATACGGGTATGAGTCACTCCTAGAGAGACTGTTAAAAAAAAAAAAAAAAAAAAAGAGAGAGAAAAAAAAAAGAAAGAAAATATGCCAGATTCTTATGTGCTGTATGGAGGATGCAGGTGCTAGGAAAGGCGATGAGCTGTACTTCCCAAACTATATTAAGCCACTGTTTTTTCTTCCTTGACAAGATCTTTCAGCATTTGCATAGGCCTGTTGCTTCATTGCAAATAAATTACTTTCAAACATCCACACTTCAGAGCTGAAATATGCAGCATTTCTATACATTCCTCTGTTTGAAAGCAAGATGCACTCCAATAATAAGGTCTGTTTGGGGAGCACTCATGCTATTACAGCACCAATGAGGCTACAGAAAAAAAATACACACTACCCGGAATCAGCGGTGCTACAACCTTCAAGTGTATGAAATGGCATTTGGGTCATTCAGAAACAGTCACGTCTCACAGCAACAGGGTCACTCCTTCTGAGCAAGCAATTCTAGAAACCTGACTTGCAATCACCAGCAATTTCCTCTGGGCTCACCATCTCTCACAAAGAATCTATGGCACTTGCTACCCAAGAGCTTGTTTTGAAGGCACAGTTTTATTCCACCTCGCCATTCCAGTATGAAGTCAGTAAATAACAAGTTTGAATTTATTTACATTTGAGTCTGGCCTGCATAAAACTGAGCTAATCAGTATCTTTGCTGAAAAAGTATATGACATAAAGGAAAACACATTTCTCAGGAGAAGAATTATTCCTACAAATATTAAATATTACTGAATGAAGCAAAGTTGGTAAAGAACTAGCCAGAAAGGCAGTTCTATTTATGATATTGTTTATTTTCCTGGAATTAACATCAACAAAATAAGTGAACACTGTTTTTTTTTTTTAAACTGGACTTCCTCATTTTAATTTGCAAATTCTTATTACTGTGACCAAGTTCATTATGTAACTCATGATGCCGAGAAGAAAAATCACTGCAAGAGAATCCTTTATTAAGTGATAGCTTTCATGACGTTATGAGGTAGATTTTTTACTCCAATCGATTCCGATAAAGTCTCTGTAAGAATACTGGATCCAGTTTTGCACCCTGAACTTCAAGAACAGTATCAGCTAACTGGAGATAAACCCTCTAGGTGCAACAAGTGGGATCTTTGGTCTACAAAACATGAACTATAAGGAGCAACCCAAGACCCCAAATTTGTTTATTTTGAAGCAAAGTAAGTTGAAATAGAGGTACCATAGAAAATATTCTAAAGGTTGGTAGAGAAAGGGAATACATATATTTTAAGACCCCTGTGGGGGATGGAATAATGGGCTTAAACTGCAGTTTGCAAGAAATCGGGCCAAGAAAAACATTTTAAAGGAAAAGTTTAACAGTGTGAAACAATGGCCAGGGAGAACTTTTGAAGTCTTTAACAAAAGATTCAGCAAACATCTCTCAAGAAGAACAAACACAGCTGATAACACTTTTCAGCAGGGATATGGGCTAGATAAGGTCCTTTCAACCCCTAGAAATCTAACACCGTGAAGAAAGAAAAAAGAGCATCAAGTCCGCTTTCTTCTTCAAAAGCATAACAAAAACTCTTATACCATATAAAGCATTTGTTTAGAGCTAAATTTAATTTTAATCCCTTAGACCAGAAAAAGTCAGTCATTACCACAAATTAGAAATCAATGAAAACTAGACTGACAGTTTAAAATTTAATGATTTAAAAATAAGCAAGAAAAATTGAACAACTAATCGAATAATCTCAGGTCATGGCATTCCATATTTTCATTACAGAACATACCAAACAGGAAACTGAAAGCTAAGGGAAAGAACAATTGCAATTTATAAATATAGTTTATACCCTTCTGACAATACTCCATGTGACCACCTACTGGCAGTTCCATCTGGCAGACAGACAACCAACTGTAGCTCAGTAGAAAATAGGATTAGATTTATTAGCAGGCTGCTAAAACAAAACATCCATTTATTTCTTTGTTTCAGAAAAGAGACTTAAGAGTAATCTTATCTGTAACATCGATCATAGTAAAATTATGCTGAAGAGATGAATTGCTCCAGAACATCCTGAGGTAGGGACAATTTTTTTCTGCCTTCAGAGGACACCTTTCGAAACCTTCTAAAAAGTAGGATTTACTGCACTATATGGGTTTCAAGAATCACCAATTTGATTAGGTACAGAAAAACCAAAGCCAGTGAGTTAAGATTTCTTTCCATTTGCTGTAGACATATGTCAGAACAACACGTGAGGCTTGCTGATTTATGGCTACTGACAAAAAAGAAATGCATCTGGAAAACTGCATTCAAAAGGAAGGTTATACCGACTTATTTCTACTAACCTCCATCTTCTGTTCCTAACAAAAGGAGGCTTGTAGCTTATAGAAGCAACAACTGCAGTTACCAGCAGGTTTATATTTTAGACCTATCCTTGAAGATGAGTCCCTCTCAGTATTTTATAGGAAGGGACAGAAACTGTGACTATTACTTACTACCCATTAAAATAGACACACCGCCACAACCATCAGTCTGTATTTCAGTAAGACTACAAGCAATGACATACATGTAGTATTTCAACTAAAGAACTATATCTAATCATTTTTCAGCTCATCTGAAAATCAGGGGAAAAGAAAGGGGAAAAGAAAACAATGATGATTCAACATGATAATTTAATACTTGATAATATAAATATAATAATATAAAAATACTTGAAAATACTATCGTGTCTCCGGACTACTGTCTTCCACATTAGGCAGAGGGAGAGATGTAAAAGAGATCTTACATGTATGTAAAAGAGAGAGCCCTTTTATTCCTAAGATTGAAGAACAACACAGAGATAGATTTTTGTTTTTGAATAAATTCAGTTTCACAAGAATGCACTCACCTTGGTATTTTGTATACTTTTGTATTTCACCTGCTGTTCAAAAAAAAAGCTCTTTAAGAAAGCATCAATGAGTGTCATACTTACTGGTAATGTACCCATGATGGACCAAGAGTCTTCTTAAACTGAGTGAGTCCCACAATATCAATGTAAATGAGTTCTACAACTTTGTCCCCCTGGGTAGGACAGCCAGATCTGTTACCTACAACCTTCTTCATAATTCTAAACAAATAAATTAAAAAAAAGGAAGAATATATGAAAATATTACTTTCCAAATAGCTTGAATTCATGCTAAAAATTATTTAGTGATAATTCACCTTTCAAAAAAAGCTACTTTAAAAAAAGGACCCCCGTAAGAGCATTCAAATGCTAAAGACCTGCAGCATTTGCTAAAGAACTGCTTGTGCATAAGATGATGATTTTCAGTAAAAAAAAAAAAAAAAAAAAAAAACACACCCTGCCTAAAAAAAAGCAAAAGATAATTGGAATGCTAAAAAAGAACATATTTTTGAATGATCTGAAATAATTTCTGACTTATATTGTCAGCTTTATTATATAAGAACTCTCCATATGATGGTACTCTCATATTTTCTATAAAAATGAGAGTTACCGAACAAGGTAGAAGCTTAAAACAGATATATTGTGCTGAATTAATAAGCAAGACAAACACAATGGAGGTGGTAATTTGACCAAACATAAACAAATAACTGTGTCAAAAGTAATATGCTTAAGGATTTACATTTTTAATTTAAAACTAGATACTGAGTGAAGAATAGCAGAAACTGAAGAGGAGGACACACACAATTTGGCTGTTTGACTGTTCTAACACCTCTTACTGCAGCTGTTTAAACACCTGTTATGTTGCTTAGTTTGAATTTTCCAGTATTCATTTACAATTCAGCATTCTCAGGAACCTAAAGCTGCAGTGAAAACATTATCCTTTTCATACCATATATATTTAGCTCATAAAAATAATCTCATTGTCTTTTTAGTGAACTATCACTTTCATATTAGGCTTTAAGAAATTATATCCTGAGCTAATAGAGGCCTCAGGTGTTTGCAATATTTTTGTATTCCGGTTTCAAAACTGGAAGTAGTCTCCTTACTCCTTGAGCTCTGCCAGTGAGGCTGAAATCCTGATGTCATGCCCCAGTAGGTAGAGAGATGTAATTAGATCACTCCACTGGACCAGTTCACCAAGTGGGCCACCACTAAACGCATTCTCTGCAATTTTGAATCCTGATTCTTTTGTCAGAAGCCCCAAATGAACAAGAATCTGAAAAAGAAAGTTGTACATGAGATTATGGGCATTAAACATGCAATTAGTACATCCCTCTGCATTTTCTCTTAAATATCGTATGTGCCCATGCTCCCTTACTCACCAAGCAAAAACGGCGTCCAAAAAAACCCATACTGTGAAATCTTGTAATTTAATTGCGTGATGTAATTCTATAACAGTAATTTTAAGAATGCTTTCATTACTTTGGACTATTATACACCACTAAATCAGTAATTAAACAAAAACAAAACATCAAGAAAGGAGCTATTCACAAAATGAATTGCTACACTACACAGAAAGTGATGATTCATATTAGCTAATTCTGATGCATATATGACATATTCTCATGTAGGATATCCTTGCTCATGCAAGGAGACAGAGCAGGTCAGGTTATGCTGCTGTGAACAAGCCATTATGAACTCGGAAAGGCTCCAGAAGACAACGGGGCTTTCCCAACCTCTACTCTTCACTGCTAGTGGAGAGAGTTTTCTCAGTTCCTTGAGGTCTGTGCTTGCCTTTGTAACACTGCACGCGTTGGGTTCCAAACACTCGGCACATGCCTGGACTGTCAGATATTAATGTTGATACGTGCAGTGTATATACCTTTTTCTTTTACTCTAATGAAGAGACATTCAAAATCCGTTTTAATCTAACCTTGTTCAGTTCCCAGGATAGAATGGGCCATGTGAAAATGAAATTACACTTTACAGAGCAACCTTAGATGGCTTTTAACAAAAAAAACCAGTAGATATTAAAGCATGCTATCAAAACCACCTGTGCACAAAAGTACTGCTCCTGTTTATCCTCGAGTTCATTTGTTCCCTGATATTCCTTTAATGGGAAAAAGCTGTATGAAAGAGGAGGATTGCGCTCCTTGAGAGGGGTCGAGTCTACTCAAGGATAGAAAGTCTAGTATGTGATGAGCACAACAGCAGGAACACAGGGCACAGACCTCCTGCAGGAACCGAGAATCCTGAGCTGGGAGCCAAGCAGCAGCCAGCCAGGCTTAAGAAAAGCTGGAAACGACTGTGCTCAGAGCTGGCTCCGGTTAAGCACGAGGCAGGAAGTGGAACAGTCGTGTTTAGAACTTGGTGCTTTTGTTTTTGTTTTATTTTACTTAGTGGAGGTTACTTTAGAAAAAAAAAAAAAAAAGGATTTTCAAAATTCAAATAAACTTTTTGAGTTCAGGAGTCTTATTGTCTTTAATTTGGACTCATTACAGGTACAAACACGAACTTTTAGACATAGTTGATATTTCTATTCCAAAGTTACTTTTGGAAAAAGGACACCTAAAGGAATCTGAATGGTTATATGTGCCAGGATTAAAAAAAAAGTTTTAACTTACTTTTTTTCGTTTTCTCTTCTCTAAATTTTGTTTTTCTGCAAGTGATTTAATTGATTCAATCCAGGCATCAGCCATCCGTCTGATGCGTAACATCATCCACCGGAATTCCTCATGTCTTGACATCATTTTGTAGAGATAATCAAAATTTACACGAATTTCAGCCTTCAAGTAAAGCATTACAAAAAGTAAAACACATAATTTATAGTGTACATTTCAGATATGACAAAGCTTCTCTATTGAGAACTCTGCACTTTACACTCCTCTACTTAAGAAAATGAGACAAAAAAAAAAAAAAAGGTTCCTTATACTAAAGTTGAGATTTTAGTTAAGAAATCCTTATCTAGAAGTTTCTAAGCTACATACATTACAGCTGTTTTTATCACTAGCATGTGGTAACCCCCCTACAATACAAGATTTTGGTTTGGTCACGTGTTTGTGAAAATGAGGTTCAAGTTTCTTTGAAACACAATAAAAATTCAAAAAAATCCACCACAGACACCACATCATGAAACTTCATGAGTCTGCTCTAGCACTATTAAGAAAAAATAGTGTAACTTCAAAAAAAAAAATCTATTAAAGCTAGGTTGAACAATAAGTGCAAAAAAAAGAGACGGTATCTAAATTAGACAAGCAACATTCAAATACAAATTCTAATATTATTTACCAAAGCTTTTTGATCAGCTTCTTCATTAGGATTTTTTGCTCTCCAAGGTAAACGAGGACACCAATTTTCAACCTGTAAAAAATGAAGGGAAAATGAAATATTCTGTTCCAAATGATCTATCAAACCCTTTTACTTCCTTTATACTTCACCTTTTTAGGGCTTGAATAAGGCACCAGATTAGTAAATCACTGCAAGCAGAGGATAAAGCCATTTTTTGCAACGTCTTCTAAGAAAAGCATAAGAGACTTTTTGCAGTTCAATACAACTTTAACCTTACAATTTGCAACCAAAAGTACCATTTAGATATTCATTCACGACAATGAATACTGCAGATAAATATCTTACAAGGCATCGGCCATGTGTTAAATGCTACAAATATGGTTTCTAAATGGCCTTGTTTTTCAAAATGTCATGAGCTTTTTATGCTTCCAATTATTGAAATATAATATATATCTTGCAGCATTTCCTATCTCCCTTTATAAGGTACTTTTATAAAAAGGCACAGGCTATTGAAAACTAAGGGTCAGAGTTCGTAGATTTGATTTCTCTTCTTAGCATTCTAGACAAAAAAAAAAAAAAAAAAAAAAAAGGAAAGAAGGCAAAAAACGTCAGAATAGGCTCTCTGGAAGGTTCTTAAAAATAACAAAACCCATTACTGCAGTAAAATAATAAAAAATTTTATTCTTAAAAAAAAAAAAAAAACGTTACTGCAGTATTTCTAACATTCCCTGCTGCAAAAAAAAACTACAATAAATATTTATGGTAGAAATAGCATATGATGGAAGTCCCAGAAAGTTCCTGCACTCTCCCTTCCTCTCTAGGAATCTTGGTGCTCTTGTAGAAGCTTAAATTCTCCTCTGCCTTAAGCAGTTGGTCCATTCAATATTGGAAAGAAGGAATCTCACCATTGGAGGCCAGTGCAGGCACAATGCATACACTAGGGTACAGTGGAAAGAGAGAAAATCAAAAATTTATAGGTCAGCTAAGATATCCCACTGCTACCAATTAAGTTCACAATTTCCAGAATCAGGAATCAGAATTGCTGTACAGTCCCCTCCAGTCATAGACATGTCAAAACCCAATTTTAGCTTAATTACACTACACTAAGTCTAAGATATTAGACATCAAAGCTTAACCATACCAAATGATTGCTTGGAAGACTAACCCCATGACTGGTCTTTTTTCATCCCATGAAAAAAGTTTTTTAAAAAAAGAAAAAAACCCAACAACTTCCTTAAAGCTCAGTTAGGTTCTACAGAGAAAGTATTCACCAAACCTTAATTCGAATGCTAGGACCTAAGCTATCCAGCATATTGAATACAATATTTGAAAGCAGTGATCTCAGCAACCCCCATTTGAAACAGGGCTCTTCACTAGTCTCCAGCTCCATAAAAACACTAGAAATTGTAGCAAGTAATAGGCATAACTATCTAGTATGATTTGAGGAATCACTTAAAGCACTGCAACTCCCATACTACAAATCATGCACAACCCCATTTTTTTCAGTAGTATGAATAATGTTGAGTCTAGAGAAAAGTGTTCTGGACATTAAAATTAATCTGGATTAAGATAGGACATTTCAAGCACTGCTCTACACCCTCTTTTCTGGCTTCACGTACTTTACATTGCACAATCATGAATCCTAAAGGAATAAAATATTTTCACAGGTACCAAGGCCAGCCAGCAGCATGTCTCACTGACAGAAAAACAAATACAGCTTTCTCTGCTTTCAGAAATATTCCCTATAGTCTAAATAAAATCACAGTAATTCAAACCCCAAATAAAAACTTCACGAGTGACTATACACAGTTAATCTGGAATTCACTTTTCCTTATTGATGTATTAGTCAATTCCTCTTTTCATTTGCAAGACCAACATAATTCACCAGAGCATGTTAAATGCATATTCTCCTAGTATGTCAGTTGTTTCATAATTTTTCAAGACTGATAAATGCAATAGGGAAAATCCATATGGTATTCTCTACGGAGGAAAGAATTCTGCTTGTCTTCCTGAGCCAATGGCTCTCAATCTGAGAACAGCTAAATGTCCCCATAGTAACCTACAAGAGCACCTGGAAAGCAAAGACGAGGAATACAGACCCAGCATTGCCCAGGGAGGGGCAATAATGACAAAAATTATATGAAATTGAATTTGGTGACTCAAGGGAAAAGAGGGATGGGGAAGCAGAAAGCTGACTGACAAACTAGGCAAACCAGGATTATTTTAATAGGCAACTTCAGCTATTCTTGAGCAATGAAGGTCAGGGGTCTGCATGTCCCCAGAAAGGAAAGGGTAGAAATGAGAGGGGATTTCAAGCCACCCAATTACACAAGTTACCTGACTTCAGAGGCACCTTTTGCTGAACTATGGAAAAAAGGAAGTGACAGAATTCACAGCTTCCTCTACAGAATTAAAAAGCCTCTTGATTTCATATTACTTACACAAGAGACCCAGCATGCTTCTAAACTTTACAGCTGCTCCCCTGCAAAACACAATTATATTTTTATATATTTTTCAATCACTGCTGTTCTAAGCTGTAAAAAGCATTCAGTTGAGAGGCTTTTTGCACTGCATTGCGTAAAATTATGGTCTACGGCAGTAAAATATGTGCAAGGCCTCAACAAAGACTATCCTTTTAAAGAGCCTGTAAGGAAACTGCACTTAACATTTGGTGGCAGAATTAAAGACAACAGTTACCCTAATGAGCAGTATGGTGAACAACTTTGTGCTCTTCTGCCTACCCTCACGCAATGACATACGGTAGTACAACACGTTTACTAGTTTTAGTGCACCATCACCAGAAAACAGACAAAAATAATTTAAAAGATGATATCGTTGTCCTGGGTCAAACAGCCACTTCCTGCTCCTGCAGTGCTTTGTCTCCTTCTCTCCGCTGGGACCGAACACAGCACCATCCCATACCCAGGACATGCAATCTCGCCTTGGACCCCAGCAACTGCAGCTCATTGCAGCTCCTGGCAAGGGCCAGAGCCCCAGAAGGGCTTCCTGTGATCGAGGAAGTCTTTTTCTTTTTTAAGATACAGCAACATATTCTTCTAGCTTCAAAGTTTCTCATCTAGAGCACCACATGACTTCTTGTAACCAAATATGGTAAGTGATTAATTATATACTTGATTGCCTTGCATGGCACACATGGCCATCAGACACCGTAAATGTCCTTATCATCGTTGTTCTCAGATTTAGACTTTTAACCACTGTCATGAGAAGTTCTTTGAAAGGAAAGGTGGGTGCTATAGTTGTTGAAGAGGTAGAGGAGAACACTCACCAAGTCATCTTTCTCCTAGCAAACATCAGTGATAACTTAACCCTTCTTATTCTGCATTGCATCGATACAAGTAGTTTTTATTTCAGCAGGTACTAGGTTCCATCTATGGACATGGTGAGAAAGGTGAGGAGCTTCTAAAACTGCTGGAATAGGATGGAGAGGAGGTCCCCCACCCAATCTCCTTGCCCTCATGTGATAATGGGGCATTAACAGTAATGCACATGCTGTGAAAAGACCTTGTGCTTGGAACTTGCCTCCCTCTTTGCTCCTGAAGTGCCTAAGAAGCTTAGTCTGCTAGGCCCATCAGCCTCTGATGAATCTGTAGGAGATGAGATAAGATATGGCAGGGAAACAAACAAACAAAAATATATATATATACACACCGCTGGTCTTGCATTGTACCATCTAATTAATGACAAAAACGTTTGCAGGGAATGTGACAGCAATAGAGCGTACTTTGTCCCAGACTTCAGACATCCTTATGATTAAAAAGGGTGCATATATCTATATATTTATATAGTGATACACAAGCAGATGATATAACACGGGCTTAATGCTACAGTATGAAGTTACAAGCATGGTATCACTCCACGCTGTTACAGCTGTGTCTAGAGGAACTCTTTGTAAGAAATGTAATATTTCAGCTTTGTATTTTTCTAGGAAAGGAATAATCATCCAGCAATAAGCTGCAAGTTTTGAAGGACAGCAGTGTTCATCTAGACCCTGCCCTTTCACTGGCTTATGCATTTATCCGATGCTTTAAGATGAAAGGCGGAGCAGTCCCTGTGAGAGCCCTCAGGCTCCTCTCCTTCCTACTGGGGGACCCTCTCCCTCCCTGGGTGAGCTTCAGTCCTTACAAAGCAGCAACTGCAGATTTGAAAACTGCCCATTTTTTGGATGAGTAATCTAAAGGCTAAACTACTATTCAGAATAGCTGAATTTATCTTCCTCCTGTCATAGTTTTGACTAAGAGCAGATGTGCCTGCTGTACCTAGCACGGCATTCAATGGGGATCAAATGTATTAGGCAGTCTTTGATCATGCTCAAGAGGCCAGGCCCATCTGCACACAGGTCTTCCGTGACACATTTTTAATCGCAGTGGACATCTTGCTGTCTGGAGTACACGTAACAAGACTTTGCAAAAGCTGCAGGAGGAGGAGGAGATGCTGTCTCCTGTGACCTGGGATATCTTCATTTAGGCCTCTTATGCCAGGCAGGTGCAGACCATATACAGAGAAACTACAGCTCTTGCTTGGCACGCCAGGTAAACAATGTTAGACGACACTGGAATTCTCTCCCTGGTGAAACGCCACTCCGACGTATCCAGCATCAACCTCAGAGTGGGAATTAAAACAAATAAGCAACCAACCCACTGCAACATCTCATGAAAGAAGGGCCACCTTGAAATTTATTAGGCAGCACGAAGGCAGGTACAGAACTAATGTTCACCTAGAAAATCCATTCAAGAAAGATCAAACTGCTTCCCTGGGGAAGGTGATTTTCTCAATTCCTGCACAGACTGGAATGACTTTGCTTAGCATTCGACCAGGGACAGGTACTCCTTTTGATATGCAGTGTGCAAGATGACTACCTGTCTGTTGAGTGAAAGAAAGTACAGGTGACTTTGGATTAGTTTCTTCCATAGGCAATGCCCAACAGTGGTTGTTAAGCACGCACAGTCTCAGCCACACTGCAAAATGAAACTTTATACACAGTCATCATTCAACAGTCTTGAACTCCTGAATACAGACCAAAATGCCGACGAAAAGGAATTTGATTTGGTGACAAAGTACTGAATATGGTTATCATTTCAGTTCCTCAGGAACACACTTTAAATGACTAAAGAATTCATGGCTCCAACTTCCACTGCTTTATATTTGAGACAAAAATACTGTTTTAGTCATTTTTGAGTAACTGTGTAGTATTCAAGGAAGTTGCTTTGATATTACATTGCAGTGAAAAAATGCAAATCACTGACTGCTCTCAGGGCTAGGAATGAGCTTGCCCATGCAGAAGTAGGGTTGGAAATGGGTATTCCACATAAAAAATGAGCAAGCTGCAGCAAACTAGCTGCACTTTCAGGGATTTGTGGAACCTATATAAATGTAATTTCCATGCTTTTTATTTATGCCTTAAACTACAGTCTTATTCTGAGAGCAGAACACATGCAGAATTGTCTTCAGCTTTTAGTTTTCTGTTTGTTGCCTCACAGCAAGAGTAACAGTGTAAAGAAAAATACTGCTGTAAGGGAAACCTGCTGCCTTGCGCTGCCGCTGGAGAGCGGACAAGGCTGGGTTTGCTGTTCAGGAGAGCTGTTCTCCTCCAGGCTTCCAAAGGCTCCAGCTCAACTACTGGGCTCTGGAAGACCCTGCATGCAGCCGTGCAGCAGTCACCAGGAGCAATCCAGTGCCTGCAGCAGAGCAGCAAGATAGAGCTGTGCAGATTTTGCAAGTCTGTACAGGTCACAGCTTTAAATGAAACCGCTACTTGCTTTCCTTTTGCTACGAACACTTGCCTCAAATTCTGCCCAAGCAACCAAGCTGCAAGGAGGGGAGTGAAAAGAGCTGTTCAGCTGCCTGGCATTGATAGTTCTGCTCCTGCAAGGGGGCCATGGAACGCAAACGCGGGGCGGCCGAGCTGCTAACACTTGCGCTGGTGCAGGCTCCACAGGAAAGGCCACCTGGGGCAGCCTGATTGTGCCCGTGCTGTTTCCATTCACAATTATGTCATTCCTATATGTTAATCTTAAGGAGAAATGGAAAACTCTTAAACATTAATATCCTTCCTGTACCCAGATGCATTTTAATATTTTAAGCCCTCACTTTTCACTCGAGAGCTCTGTAGGCACATTCATCATCCAGCTGCGCAACCACACTATAAACTGTCAATTCTTCATCACTGTCCTCTTTGATAAATTGCCCTTGCAACAGCATTTCCAAGTTACCCTTAGCGGCCAGCACACCTCATAAATCCCCATCATTGTGGTGTTATTAGAATTTCATTTCATGCTTGCATTCGCAAACATTTAAGCTTTCCAACCTCTGCTGCTGGGCATTAATCATGGCATTAATCATAGGATTAAGAACACTGAATTTAAATTCAGGGTTAATAACATGCTCAACTAATATTAGTTTTACATTCTGTCATGGGAGAACATTAAAAGGAAAAAGCACAAGACCTTTGTCTGCAGTTCCCAAATGGAATAAGAAATGGCACAAATTTAGCATTAAAAAAAACCCTTGAATAATCAACCATTGCACTTCTGTAAATTGAGGCGGCAGTTACAGCGGAAAAACACCACTTCCTTTAATTAATGCATTAGATATTTTATCTGGTACAAGATATCCTGGCTTTGAGTTTAAAGAGATACTGATCTTCCAGCTATCGCATGTAATGTATTACACTACAAAGATAGACTCAAGAATTAAAATATATTCTACGGTTCCAATATTTATGAAAATATTTGATACTATCCTATACAGAGAGAATGCACTTAAAAAAAAATCCAATGAAGACAGACTTATTTCATAGCATTCTAAAAATGAAACAGCCTAGTGAGTCCCCCCTATAATATTTAAGATTTACCCATTTAAGAATGAATTATCATTCACCAACAAAATAAAATAAAGTTTTTTTAAACTACTTCCTGATAACTGTAAACTTAAAAAAGCAAAAAAACCCTTAAATGTAAGACATTTCCTGAAGGATAGCTGAACTGTTAAAATGCAAGTTTATTAAGATAGTTTTCTCTACACTGTTATGCAGCTGATATACATGCCTATATGATTTAGCATTTGAAATTACAAAGTAACAAAATTAGTTAACATAGAGCTTTTAAATGAATTTTTCTCTGCTTCAGTAAGATGATGAAAAGTTTGATCAAAAATCCTGCTAAAAGCCTTTAAGTTTTAGCTCAGCAAAGTAGCTCAAATATAATGCCTGCTGCTCTGACTTCCAACTGAAAAAGCACTCAAATTATTTTGTAGAAATGCAAAGAAAGTTCAGAGTAGAATTTATCATTACATTTAAAAATCGGATTCCTTACCCAGAGATGAGGAGTCCTTTGTTAAACCACAGAGTTAAACTGTGTGCTCTCGGTTTTGGACTGGGAGAACCTTATGCTACAGGTGATGCACCTAAAAGGAGGTTATAGGTATCTACCTGACTAACACCTGCATTCAGAAATACCAGACACACTAGGAGCAAGATCTCTTTGCATTTCACTCCCAGGATAAATTGAAAGCTCAATTATGAAAAAAACTAATAGCATCTAGCAAGTTTTCAAAATTAACGATCAAATACAGGAGGTTGTCACAGAAAATCTGCATAAAAAAGCTAGGGAACTAAATGGTTGACAGAATACATCAAAACAAACATAATTGCACTGATGTCAAAACATAACCTTTTAGCAGAAACTTCAAGATGAACGTCAACTGATCATGAAAGCACATCACCAATGTCTATGACAAATAAGTGAGTAAATGGTACAGTCATTCTGTATTTTTTTCTTTCCCCAGCTTTATAGCCCATAAATAAATCAACACTAAGTGCCACCAATGTAATGAGTCAAATTGATGATTAAAAATCTATTTTTTTCTATTTCTTCAGCTATGTGTTACGGATATTCATTTAACTATTACTATTACTACTTCTTAAAGTAATGCCCTCAAAGGTTTGACTAGCGCCAAGTAAATCTTCTTTCATTACAACTGAGTTACTTAAATAAGACTGTTTTAGTCTTAAATATGTAGATTAAGAAACCCAACTCCTCCCTTTAAATCATGCAAAAACTACAACAATTAATATGACTTGGCAATTCTACAACTTCTTTACATCTCCAAGTTCTTTGCAAGCAGAAAGTCATCATTTACCAATATTGCTTCAAGTATCGATTGCTGTAAGTTATTACAGTTTTACTGATAACACGCAAGAGGCCAAGTCACCAAATATGTGTGACCTTTTCTGAAATACACCAGAAGACAGAGAGAAGCTCAAAACAAACCCTGACAGACAAAATCCATTCTTGGAAAGCAAGCGATACTCAGGAGAGCTGTACAAAGATGGGCAGGTTCTTCAGCTTCTTATAAATTTGGCCTTTTGTTCTGAGAGATACTAGAAACTCTAGTCAACCTAGCTGCAACTTCACTCAAGAAGGTGACTTTTAGGTGATATATTTATTTATTTTGATAAGACATCCTCCAATTTACGAGCAGTCTCCAAGTAGGAAATGGCCATGAATTCTAGGAAGATGTATCACCTAGTTTCACATTCTCAGTATTTCCCAAACTTCCAACCATCTCTCCTAACATTCCTACTTCTTGCTATTTCAGGAGTTACACAGAAAGCATTAGAAAAAGTACCCAAAGGCAAGGACGTCTGACTGAGTTCCATATTTAGGAGAAAAAAAAAAAAAAAAAGGATTTCTAATGTGGTTTTACTAGTCAGGTTCTGTTCACATCAATTCAGAATTCTCCAGGCTAGAAATACCTGGGTGACTTACGAATTACAGCAAAGCACTCAAGAACAAGTCTGCTTAACAGTTTTTCTTTCCTCTTTATTGAATTGTAAGAAAATTATGATTTCTTCTGAGAAATGCTTGCAAGTAATTACTAACAAATACAGAGCACTATGATATTCCCATTATGCAGCTGCAAATATTACTGACCTCACTGAGGTAAATAAAAAAGGAGCATGTGGACCCATCTACGCCGTAACTCGCATAACAGGGATCTGATCGCCACATATCTTTCATCCACTGAAAGGAAACCAGAACACAGTCTGTTAGGCTTAAGTACTAAAATATTATTTCACACTGAACACAGGAATAACAGGTAAGAGCTGAAAATCACTGCAACCAACCGATTAAAAAAAAAAAGCAACATTCAAGCAAGCATGATATAGCCAACATGAAGTCAATTTATCAAAATTACTAAAACCACAGACTAGAGATTTAACACTTGCACATTTTTAAATACTTATTTCCAAACTTTTTAAAAGAAAAAAAAAAGCCACATATATTTTAGTAGTTCAGCTATTTGTTTCAATTTTCAAAAAAAAAAATAAAAATAAAAATCCTAATACCTTATATTTAAGTATCTAGCAACTTAAATTTTGTCCCCAGCTACTGATGAGGTCTAATTAGAGCTCAAATTATAGATGTTGAAAAATATAGTTCTCAAACTCTGCAACCTTATATTTTTTCTTTCTAAATCAAAATTTGATGACTTTCAAAGTTTAGCATTTCCAATTACATTATTAATAAATTATTTATACATAATAATTAATAAAGCATAAAATTTATGTAGAATCAACTGTGAACACCACATCCAAAGCTTTGATTGCACACATTCACAGCGTTAGTGAATTTTATGCTTTCACAAATGACGTCACTCTGAGCAAGACAGTTTTCTTCCTCTAATGCAACACACACAATTTTTCACAGAGAACATATCATGAGATTAAGAATAGGCTATGCTTACCTTTATTTTCCCTTCACAGTGAGGAAAACCATCCATAGGAGGCAATTCACACTGTTCTTGGGCTCCATTTATGAGATCTAAAAAAAAAAGAGACTATAATAGAGTCTTGTCCTACAGCTCTGACAGATAGCCTAGCGAATCCTGCCTTTTATTTTGTGATTCCACATGCATATTCCCTGGGGTCCTACTGTGTAACATTCGCTACAACATTTAAGACTGTACTTTTTATTTGACTATGTAAGAAAAAGGTTGTATAGCTTTCAACTCCAACTTGCAGTAGAAATGCTGAATTCTAAAGTGTGCTTTATACAGATTGAAATAAAAATTAAGCTAACTCAGACTGGATATAAGGCAAAACACTTTTCTAATCTAAGTGTGCTTAAAACTAGTAAGTTGCAACAATTAGTTTCTGATTGGCAAACATTTGCAAGGCGTAAGCTGCTCTGAAATACCAACACTAGGTTTTGCAAGTGTTACCATTTTATCCACTGCACGTGACTAGCAACTTGGCACTAGATGTATGACCTAATTAATAAGCACAGCATTCTGATCTAAATTTAAAACCAAGTAACACCACATCACATCTCATGAGAAAAATTTCTCATGGTCTCAAGAATTTTTATAGTGATTCACATTACTTCTACATATTTTGTTAAGATTTTATCATGTGAGGTTTTTAAAACATGTTAAAATGGAGCAGGATTCCTTCTAGGCTATATGAGCCAAGCAAAAGGGCTAGGAGAAGTTTCAGAGGACGTTAGCACACCAGTTCCAGGTGGGACTTTCTCCTGAGAAACCTCTAACACAAACCTTTAGGCTGGAAAAGCGACTGATGTGGTGGAGAGTTTGTTGCCATAAGCAGCGGAGGTTTTTAATTTAGGCAGTCTGTCCCAGAGTTATCTAAATTATACCTGAGCTATTCCATCTTTTCCCATGGGCAAAACTCATGATTATCAAAGCCAACCATGCACTGAGGAGCATGTTACTCTATATAGCATTTTTGCAGTTACAGTACAGAACTTCACCCCCTATTTCAGATCTCAGTTAAAAGAAAAAAAAAAGGCAGTAGAACAGAGAAGGGATACAAGATCAGCAGTATGGAGTTAGAACATTTCATTATATACAAAACACTCTTCCCAATTTAGCTGAATATTTTCCATTCTTTCACAAAAGGCTTCTTTTGAAAGATAAAACTTGAAATGTGAGGCACTGAAAACAGAACTGATGGGAAAGTAATATGCCAGGAAGACAACACTGATTTGGCAGTCACTGCATCAGCAGCAATTTGACAAACTGAGCTTTATTGCCAAGGGCAACAATGCTGAAGCAAAGTAGTTTTTAAGATGACTTTGAAATCAGTAAGTACTTTCAAAATATTCTCTCTTCTTCCTCTTTTCTCCTTTTCTATCTTCTCCATTTTTTGTTTCCATGATAAATTTTCTATCAATGACTAAAATACAAAGTCCTGAGCCTGAATAGAAAGCCAGTACAGAGCTTTCCATAAAACATGTCAAATGAGGGCCTCCCTAAAATATAAAAGATATCCTAAAATTATTAGGCCACCATCACAGATTCAGGAGGAGACATGCTTCCTTTACAATTAAAAAATGGGTTCAATGATGCAGCTAAACCTTATAAATGACAAATCTCATGTTTAAAAAAAAAAAAAAAAAAAAAAAGGCAAATCTAAGACTATAGGACTATTAGATATTAAACTCATGGAGAGAAGGGATTATTAATGGTATTCAGCATGAATTCCAAATGTCTTTCCCTCTGCATCAGTGTTTTCTTAAGAAGTCTCCTTCCAAAGTCACTATCACCTCATGGTACCGGCACTACCTTCACTTGACCCTTGTTGCCTTGATCTCATTGATATGATATAACTTGAAAAGTCCTTGCCCCAAAGCAATAGTTCAAACCAGACCAAATCTTTTGACTGGCAGGCACGAGGAAGCAAAGCAGCAGCAGGAGTAGCAGCCGCCCCAGTGGCTACAGCAGCCAGAGAGGCCCCTGGCACAGCCTACCATGAGCACGAAGAAAACATAACTCTCAACAACAGCCTTTTCTCTGTTTTCTCCGGGCTAAACAATCCTCCTCTGCAAGACACTCATTCCTCCTTAGACGTGCTGCTTACTCCTTCAGTTCCTCATCTGTCAAAAACAGCAGAGCACTCAAAAGCTGTTATTCTTCCCATCCTACTGCCTGGGAGGTACAGTCAACCCCGCATCACCAACTGCAGAGACAGCACGAATCAGCCATGGACTTCACTGGTAAGGAAAAACCAGTCTGTCTCACACTGCTGTACAATGCTACGGTACGACTGCGTTCCACTTCACAGGGAGTTACTCAAGGAAAACCTCTCTTCTTGTGAAGCCCCTTGAAGTACAGGGTAGAACATTAACACAAACTATAATTCTTTATTTTACAGCATAAACTGTCAGCGTGCCAGGTTGATCACTTGCATCTTACTGTATTTTAATGGGTGTATAGAAGTGCCAAAGTACGGAAAGAAAGGAAGGAAACACAAGATATAGAGAACAGACTCATTCTTGGTACACACGCAGCCGTAGTCTAGATACTTGTTTGCTTTTGTCACATGTAAACATTTTCTGTACACAGTGCGTGTTTACAGCCAGCTGCGATCCGAGCAGAGATGACAGGAAGGTTACTTAGGAAGAGGTCACAATACACACACCTCACTTGTAAACATTGCTCCTGTGCTGCCCAAAAGGTGCTCCAGAGTTCCCATAAAAGCCTGTTTGCGAGAATGAGAGCTGCCTTTACCTGCCACACCTATACTTCAATACACCTATTTTGTGCCCACCTATACTTCAAGAGCTCCCATCAGCTTTGGCAGCGAGACGCTTTCCAAGGAGCGCTCGCAGCTCTAGCAGGGCCCAGGAGGCAGGGATGCGGGGACACCAGCACACACCGCGTTCCCAGGCTCCTGCTCTCCCCTGGGGCCAGCTGCTCCGGAGCTC